CTAGTTCACTGGATTCCAGAGTTTGTGCTTTGAGGCATCATGCATGCTCTTTTTCAGAGACTGCAAGCTGGCAGCCATTGAGCCTGCAATGCACATAGTCCCCATGTTGTTTTAGTGTATAAAATGTCACTCAAACCTAAGGTTTCTGATTTTCATGAAAGAACTCTAAGACCTCCCAATACTGGCTCAGTTTTTGTATGAAGTAATGAATTGGAGATGAGTAGCTGTTGCTTCTTCTATAGTGGAAATCTCTAATACTGCTCCCTCTTACTTAAATTCTAGCCTGTTTCAATCATGTATAGGATTTGCCTGGGCCTTATTGACATTTTGAGAATACAGCAGTGCTTCCCATCAAGCAAAGCAGACTAAAACATAGCATAAGGGTAAGAGCTGAACAAAGAGATGAGGCAGAGAAGCCCCGTTACCCAAGCAGCCAGTGTCCTTGCACTTAGTTACTCAAAGAACAAAAGCTCAGTGCTGAATTCAGTTTATCTCATCTCATTTTCAAGCCCACGATAAATAGAGAAGTGCTGGCTCAGGGAAGGGCAAGAGATGCATAGAAATCACAAGGAAAATTGTGGCCTGAGACAAGCAACTTTCTTGTCTGCTTTTAAGAGATTGCTTTTCATAAAGCTTTGCCATAGCTCTGCTTTATCACCCCTGCCTGAGCATCCAGCTGGATAGAATCTGAAAGCTAAAAGCCTGCAACTTGCAGAGAAGGAGGGCATCTGGTTTCCTTCGGCTGTAGGGCCATACTAGTCTACTTGTTTCTGGGTAATCCGGTGGGAAATTTCATCTGTGTGTCAAGTTTCCTGTCATATCAGTCTTCTCTAGGCACCTGCAGAGTTCACATTCACATCCTGGTGCCCACAGCGCCATCCATTAAAAGGTTCAGCTGCCTTATGGGGAGGAGAGTACAGTCAAACACAAAGACCATCCTAGGTGGTGAGATGCTGAGGTCTGGTTTGTGAAATGCACTGAGGAAACAGAGAACAATCTCACAGCAAGCACCTCCAGAGAAGCGCAGGACCCTCCAGTCCACCTCCAAGCAGAGGCCATGAGACTCCAAAGGGCTTTGTCTTAGAATATATCCTCCTATTCATGAGAGAGACAATTAAGCCTGGGTTCCTGCCACTAAAGGTGAGTAGGCTTTTCCCCAAGGCAGCTGGCCTTTCATACTTTGACCAGCCAGCAGACTCTAGCCTCGTGTGCGTGCTTTCTCTCAGACTAGCTCTTCCAGGATCTTGCTCTTTCCTAAACCTGAACCTGGGAGCTTTCCTGGAAGACGGCTCCAGTGCTGAACAGAGGATTCATGTCTTGGCCCTGCTGCTTGTTAGCTGGTAGGCCTGTTATTCAGTGTCTGGGCTATGATTTCCTCCTTCCACAAATGCGTGATGACCCTACCTGTCAGGGTTGGAAGAAACACTCTTTGAACTAATGCAACACAGAAAAGGGCTGATAACCCTTGGCCACAGAGGAAACCTTTAACCAAGGATCTTCTTTGTTCTGTTTTCTGCCTACCTCTCTAATTTTGTCTCTCCCGCCTTTGTCTCTTACTCTCAGTGCTGTGTTTCTTCTGAGAAGAACCTTCTTCCTACCCCTCACCCAACACCTGCTCTCTTTTCCCCTGTCCCCCACGCCTGCAGATCACTGGCTTCTCCAGCCTTCTGACCAGATCAAGTCCCTGACCTCGAAGGCGCTCTGTGCTTGCTCTTTGCAGCACTTATTGCAGCGTGTGAGACAATGCTACCTCCCCCACGGTCTCTACCATTACCCTTAGAACTAGACAATAGTGGAGCTAGATGGGATATGTGTTATACCCCAAGTGCCTAACAGGTTATGGTTCCTTGGTGCACACATGCTAAATGATTAAGAGATGGTGAAACTCAGCTTCAGCTTCCTTTGATCTTACAATAAATGAACAGTAAACAGGCATATGTTAAGGAATCATTATACTATATACAAAAATTAACTCAAAATGGATCACACACCTAATCATAAAAGCCAAAACTATGAACATCTTAGGAGAAAACAGAGGGGTAAATCTCCACAATCTCATGACATCAAAAAACAAGCAAAAAAAGGAGATAATAGATGCATTAGTCTTTATCAAAATTAAAAACTTTTATGCTTTAAAAGACAAGTACAAGAAATTGAAAGACAGTCAACAGAACGGGAGAAAATATTTTTAAGTTACATATCTGATAAGGAACTTGCTTATATCTGATAAGGAACAGGGTATATTAACAAATTCTTCTCCTTCTTTTTTTTTTTCAGTACTGAGAACTGAACCCAGGACCTTCACACTGAGTTGCAACCCAAGCATATTTTTATTTTTTTTATTTAGAGACAGGGTCTTACTAAGTTGCCCAGTCTGGGCTCAAACTTGCTATCCTCCTGCCTCAGCCTCCCAGAGTGCTGTGATTGTAAGTGTGTGCCACTATGTATAGCTAAAAAATTCTTATAACTCAATAATTAAAAGTTTGATAGCATAATTTTTAAATAGACACAGGATTTGAGAATTGGAATAGAGAGTCTGAAAAAATATAAAAAAGTAAGCACATAAGACAATATTCAACATCTTTCAGGGAAATGTAAATCAAGACCACTTTAAACATATTCAAAAGGTTAAATTTTTTTAAAAAAAGGTCAGGTCAGGAAATAAACATTGGTAAAAATGTGGAGGAATCAGAAACCTCATAATGCTTGGAGCATAAAATAGTGCAGCCACTTTGAAATATAGCCTTCAGTTCCTCAAAAAGTTAAAGGTAGAGCTGGGGGTGTAACTCCATGGTAGAGCGCTTCCTTAACATGTGTGAGACCCTGGGTTTGATCCCCAGCACCCCTCCCCCAAGAAGTTAAAGATAGAGTTAGCATTTGGCCAGCAATTCTACTCTTAGGTATACTCAAGAGAAATGAAAAAAAATACGTCCATGCAAAAATTTGTGCATAAATGTTCATAAAAATATTAGTCATAATAGCTCAAAGGGGAAATAACCCAAGTGGCCATCAACTGATGAACAGATACATACAATATGGTAGATCCATGCATCAGCATATTGTTCAGGCATAAAAGGATGTGAAATTCTGATTCATGCTACAACAGGAATGAATCTTGAAAACATTATGCTGAGAGAAAGAAACCAGACACAAAAGGCCGCATATTGTATGATTCTATTTATATGAAATATCCAGAATAGGCAAATTCACAGACAGAAAATAGATTCGTGTTTGCTTAGGGTTATAGGGAAGGGGATGGAAGGATGGCAGGATGAGGTGGTATAATGTTCTTCTGTGTGTGATGAAAATATGAAATTGATTGTAGTGATGATTTCACAGCTCTGTGAATATATTAAAAGTGCTGAATTGCATGCTTTAAATGGGTGAATTATATGGTATGTAAGTTACATTCCAAAGCTGAGGGAGACAGAGCATATGTTCATGAATTCTTAAGTATGAACAGAGGCATGCAATTCTCACCCCCAAGGAGGTAACGTCCCAGCTGGGAGGAGATGTACGTATGAAGCAGTGACACCAACTGGACCACCATCAAGTGCTACCTTGGGGAATAAGAGCTGCAGTGCCGAGATAGCCCATGGCCGGGGGAAGTAAGAAACCTTACACAGAACGTATTTAAAGTGCAAATACAGAAATGACATCCTGTGCCACTTAGCAGGAACACTAGCTCATTTCTAATCCTGTTGTCTGACTTTTTTCAGGGTTTTTTTTGTTTTTGTGTTTTAGTTGTTTTTTTTTGTTTGTTTGTTTGTTTGTTTGTTTGTTTTTTGAGACATGGTGTTGCTATGTAGTTCAGGCTGGCCTCAAACTCCTGGCAATCCTCCTGCTTCAGCCTCCTGAGTGCAGAGATTATAGGTGTGCGCCACCATGTCCAGCTTTTTCAAGTGTTTCAGTAAGATTTCCCTGGCTAGATAAATCATCCCATCTTTGTGTCCCCTTCATCTCCAGCTGCCATCACCCAGATCTGGTGCTCATTTTAGGGTGACTGGATGCTAGGACTGGTGACAGAGGCAGGGTCAGAATTTAGAACTTCCTGTCAGAATTTAGAGCTTCCTGTTGCACACGATCTCTCTCTTTTCATCACACCTGTGCCACCAAAGGATTTTTTTTTTAAGCCAATACTTTCCTGTGTTTTCCTTTTTTGTTTAACCCACAGCCCAGCAGGCCAGGAGAGTGTGCTAAGGTTACTGACTGACAGGAAGTAACTGGAGATGGGAGGGAGTGGGGAGCCTGGTCTTAATTCAAGGTCACTCAGGGGGCAAGCACCTGGCTGATCAGGGATTAGCATGGATGTCACTGTCCTGATAAGCCCACAGAGCTGGGTTGTTTATTTCAGAGGTAGGTTTATAGGCATTTGAGGGAGAAAAAAAATATCTGCACCAATCTATTTTATGACAAAAATAAATATATGTCTTGGAAAGGGGTGCAGAGTACATCTTTTAAGGGAAAGAAAAAAATTCCCCAATAAAGAAATTAAATTACAAAAGGAAGCATTTGTGACTGCCAGTACTCCTGAGACCCCTTAACATCTATAGTCCTGACGTGGGGACGATTATGTTCAAGCAGCCTCAGGGTTCCTTTGGCCATTCTGTTCTATCTAATATATCATTTAATGTATTTGTTCATTTAGGCCATGACTCATTGTTTCTCATTCTATTTTTAGTTGTTGCTTCTCAGTTGGATTTTTCCACATATCAGATGTTCAACTGTGTGTCTAAGGGGACAGTATCTACCTTGGGGCTGAAAAACCGTCCACATAGTATTATTATTTGTAAGTTGTGAAAAGTTGTGGTAAAAACATCTTCCCCTAAATTTGCAGTGATTGAGAAGTCATGCTAGAGAGAGGATGGGATGAAATGCTGATTGTTTTGAGCATGTCACAGATATTATTCTGAGATACCTAGAGGAAGATGGTAGCTATGTGCCTATTACGGTTTAATGTTTGAGCATGTGACTTCTGACTTCTGCCCCCAGAAAGGACTTTGGCAGGAACATGAACAAGGAGAGATCAGTCCAACATGCTGATGGCGGCAAGGCGTGAGGCCGTGGAAAGCTGAGAGGATACGAGAGGAGCAGTGGCTTTGCAGAAGAAGAGAGGTCTGTGTCTTTGTTACTTCCCTCATTGCTGGGCAAAGTACATGAGCCCCACATCTTGGAGAAGAGATTTATTTTGGCTCATGTTTCAGTCTGTAGCCAGCTGGTTCCAACACAAAACAGCACGGCAAAGAGGGCTGGTGGAGGAGTAGCTGCTCACCTTGTGGTGTCCAGGAAGCAGAGAATCAGGGGAGGAGCTGGGAAGGGAGATAAACCATCCCAGGTCACACCACAGTGACCTACCTCTTCCCCCGAAGAGGCCACCTCTCAACTACAAGTCAGCTATAATGTCCCCATAATCCAATCACCTTCCCAAACCCCCACCTATGAGCTCATGAGTCTTTGGGGGGACATCTAGATGTAAACCGTAACTTTGTGTCCAAGGGGACAGATCCTGAGGTCAGGCAGACTGGAAAAAGTAGATTTAGAATATGAGCAGAAAAAGAAAGAATCTGGTGCTAGTTCAAAATGGAGACTAACCAAGATGGCAGACCACAGTTGCCAAGATGCAGCCATTTACTAACTTTCGTTCTTCCTGAGTGAATAACTGGTGTTTGCATATATTTATAGATAAATGTGTAAACTGGTAACAAGTTTTGGATACAATTACTAAACAAGAGACAAAGGAGAGAGGGCAAATGGCTACATGCCCACTGTTGAAACACGAAATTACAATGGGATAACTAGGAGAAAATCAAAAGCATATGTATTATGATTATCCATAGGTACCTAATATGTATTAGGATTATCCAGAGGTACCTGCTCTAGAAGAGCATTTCTTATCCCAGCCCACTAAAGTAGATTTGTAGTCCAGGCAAAAAAAGTATCCAGTGGTAGACAGCCAAGCGCCACACTAATAGGACAAGACACCCAAGGCCAGAACTGGGAATCATGGTGAGGTCTGAGTGGATAAAGCCATCAGCCAAGTCAGGAAGAAACAAGCAGCAGGGTGGGCAATAATGTTAGGGTCAGAGGTCAGAGGTTAGGGGTTAGAGGGAACAGTACCAGCAAAAGGGTCTTGGGAGCTTAGATACTGGAGTCAGGTATGTCCATCCTCAGATGTATTTTCATTCTGTAGCCATAAATCATCAGCCAGAGATCAGGACATATAGTTGAGTGTCACCGAAGCTGGATGCTAAGATTACCCCCAGAGTTAAGTCTAACACTCAGAAACCTCACCTAGGTCTCCAGGAGAAATGAAGCTGGGAGGAGCTTCTAAAAAGAGAAATCCATGTCCTTAAAGGTCAATCTGGATAATGAAAGAGAGGCCTGTGATCAAAAGAAGAGTGACTTAGAAGAGTCCAGCGGCCATGGGAATGCTATTGGCAGGCCTGTGTATGGACAGCCCATACAGTGCAAGAGTTGGAAACCCCTGGCCTTCTTCTACTACATGCATTCCTGCCCTATCCAGGAGGGCACCAAAAACACCACCACATACCAAACTGTCCCTATGGCTTCAGAACACATGGATGTGGTGCTCAACTAAAGAAGTAGTGGGCCCTGCAACCTCCAATTCTTTCCTCCTGCAAGGAGTTGGAACTGTGGCTTCATACTCACTCTGGGTGCCAGGGCCAGAGGGAATGAGGTAGATTGGAAGGACTCCAAGGAACAAGAAGAAACAGAAGGAAGGTATGGAACAAAGAGGCAGCTGATGGGAGAGAGCCAGCGCCCACCGTCACCTCTGACACAGGGAGCAGAAAGTCTCCATACACCCTGAGCTGAGGCAGGAACTATTTGGGAAATCTTGCAAAGGGCCTGCTTCATACCATCAATTATGAAACAAGACATTTATGCCAGTGTTTTGGCTTCAGCACTCTAGTGATTGAATTTCATGCATTTTTAAGAAAGGGGAAGAAAGCCAGTTGTTGGAACTGCCATGAACATTTAAAGAAATGTGTTCTTAACCTATGACAGCACTAAGCACCTCTTGAGACAGGGCCTGCATGTCAAGAAGATGTGAAACTCTTCCATCCCGGGATCTGTCCATATCTAATGATCTAGATGAGATGGGAACTTTCACGTTTTTGTAGAACACAGAGCAGTGACGGTGAACCTTTTAGAGACAAGAGTTCAAAGTGCAACCCAAAACCCGCTTACTTATCACAAAGTGCCAACACTGCAATTAAACCTGAATAGTGAGGTTTTAGTTTAGAAAAAGCAACTCATACATTAACATCTTTTGTCTTAAAAGAAAAATAAATAACACTTGTGCCATAGATTTGCCACCACTGATGGAGACAGTAATCATACGCTAAGCTTTGGCTCTATTTTTGGAATCATATCTCTAGGCTGCTGAAAAACTGCATAGCAATGCAGTGCTCAAAATCTCCAGAAACCAGTCTCTCCTTATAAGTGGGAAAAGGCATTGCAGTTCTGGGTTTGCACACAGTTATTTTCACAGTGAGTTAATTGCTTAGGATTGTGTTCATGTGCATTTCTTTCCTTCATTCTATGCAAAACTTCTCTAAGAGCAAATACTCCACCGAAAGCATATTTCTTTTCTTTAACTTATGAGACATAGAACAGGAGAGGTTAACATGGCAGATTACAAACACAGGGCCTTGGGCTGGGGCTGTCGTTCAGTGACAGAGAGCTTGCTTACCCTGTGTGAAGCCCTGAGTTTGATTCCCAGCACTACACACACACACACACACACACACACACACACACACACTGCAGTGCCTTGAAAGAAACAACAGATATGTAGTGGTGAATGCCTGTAATCAGCAGTGTGGGCAACGTAGTGAGATCTTGTCTCAAAAAATAAAAATACATACATACATACATAATCCACCCCTTGGAGAATTCTGATCGGAATGGAGAGTCCACATTCTTTCTCTCCTTCCTAGAGAAACTGAGGCAAATCAACAAGGGTATGTGAGAAGCTCTTATTTTCCTCATTCTTTGGGGCCCTCATCCTTGGGGATCTGTAGCTCTTTATCATCAGCTTGGAGACCAGGGGCAGGAGCAGCCATGAGCACCTTTGAATGCTAACCCTCTGAGTGGCAGCACAGTAAACACTTTACTTGCATTACCTCATTGAACCGACATAGCATCTCAGTGAAGTGGTACTACCCATTTTACAGATGTGGAGACAGAGGTACCACTTAGGAAGTGGCAGAACAACACCCCTAAGGTCTAGAGTCTCCCATTATATGAAGCATTAGCTCAGTTTCTGGCAGTGTGGAAGCAAGGCACGTAAACACTGTGGTCTTGGTGGGGATCCTAGGAGACATGGGAGGAGTCAGATAAACACAGGTACCAGGTTCCAATACCTTGGTAGGTCTGCAGTGTAGTCCCTTAGCAGAATCTATCACTCATTTTCCCAGTATTTCCCATGCACAGACTCCCAGCATGATTTTAGTTGTTGCTATTGTGAAGGGTCATGTAAGCCCTCCTGAAGGGACAGGAAAGAATTGCTCCCCTCTGCCTGTCCCTTCTTTCCTTTGCTTGTTCAGCACCTTCTCCCTGATGGCAGGGAGCAGCTGTGGTTAGTGAGCCAGAACCCAAGCAGATCAATAGCACGCACATGTGAGGACATCGTTAGCAGGGTACTAATGCTCATCCCGGATACGTCCAGTGTCACTCATGGTTTAAAGGTTAAGTAGAGTTTGCCTAATGTCAGGAATTCATCTTACTAGAACATGTGACATTTTTCTGCCTGCTCAACCAGTGCAGCTTTAGAGTGCATAAACTACATGTTATTTTTAAATATTTGGAATAATGCTTTGTATGCAGTGTTTGCATTACTAATAAAATGTTATTTTCAGTACATGTGTAAAACACATATATGTAAACATATATTTAAAACTACATGATGTGTCGTCTAATCACATAATGTGCAAGACATCTTTTAAAAATTGAATATACTTTTCATTGTACTAGTATATTCAATAAGGTAGTCTGATATTAAATTCTTTGGCAAAATGACCAAACTGGTAATTCTTCTCCCTTTTTACAGCATCAGTTTTTGCATTTTGGGTTTTTGGGATCATATATTTCTTAAAAATACAACCCTACTGCAATCAGTAGTCACTTAAGTAACGCCAAGTGCCCTTCCTGACATTGCTACCCCATCCACACAGGGATGTGCTTTTGGGGAGAGCAGAGGCCAGGTCTGTGGCCCACCGTCTACGCTCCCTCTGACATTGCCTCGCTTTCCTGATTGTGCTGGGAGACATGATTCTTTGCTGTAGATCAAAATTTTCTATGGCCCTTTAAAAGGCGGGGAATGCTCAGTAAAATAGAAAAAGGAAAGAAGACATATTATTTCTTTCTGGTAGAAATTTTCTAGGAATACCTTGCCTCAAACTTAGATGTAGTATTTTAGCAAATTTGACTAACAAAAGACACTGATGCAAAAATAAAACCTATGTTATATGCCATACATTTTGTCTCTCCTAAAGGAATTACATTTTCTAGCAACTCCTACATAGACATAGCAAATGCAGAGTTATTTTGTTAGATATTGAGCCACACAGATAAAGCCGCCCTGCTTGTCATTTTTCTCACCTATGATTCTAATAGAAAAAGAGAGATCCTAAGTTCCTGTTGCCATAGGCATCCCTGGGCCCTGCAATACAATGCCATAGGAGATGGAAATCCTTTCAAAGCCAACAAACAACGACAGATCCCCAGCTATTTGGAATGGCAGAACTACGTGGCTGCCCCACGACTACTCATTTCATCCAAAGTCCTTGATAGGCAACAGGATGGAGTTGGGAAAATTGTACAAGACATTGGCCCTTAGATAAGCTCATATAGTTGAACTCTTTGTGGAGCAATTCAGTGAAAAATGCTGTGTGAAGCCAAGCGAAAATGCAAAAAGCTCCCTACACAATGCTCATCCATGAATGGCTGGACCGGGTGCTGGGGTGAGCTATTTCTTTAGGCAGAAGCTGTCTTGAAGCAGGGGTGGGTAGCTGACCAGAGGTGGACTTTTAAAATAAATTACAGGCCCTTCAGATGCCTCTAAGCTGTGGCTACATAAATAAATATTTAGGGACAGTAACAACAGAGAATGTAATATGCTTCTAAGGTCTTTCACAAATACATGTGAAAGCACTTGTTACGTAATAATAGGCTTGTTCAAATAAGATGATATTCACTATATCACTGCTGTTTACAAACAGAAAGGACTGCTGCCTGTGGACAGTGATGAGGCTCCACTTTGTAGGGTGGTTGGGGTTGGGAAAAATTCTGAAAAACATGGACTAGGCTGTGCCACGAGAAAGACAAAGCAAGGCCCCTGCCCAGGTGGTTCTGATGTCAGCTGGATCACTCTCGGTAATTCAGACCACCTAGGTAACAACTGCACCGTTTGAACTGCTTTGCCTATTTCCACGGTACAAACAACCCACAGTCCTGTAGTATTTACCTCAGTGTTGCATTTCTCTGTGTTCTATAGAGCTGGACTTGGTGTTTATACAGGATCACATCTGCCCAAAGAGAGAGGCAACACTCAACGCAGAAAGTGAACTATGCTTGGTGGTGTATGCCACCAACCACTCTGGGAGGTTGAGGCAGGAGGAAAGTTTAAGGCCAGCCTGGGCAACTTAGCAACTTAGCAAGACCTGTCTCAAAATTAAAAAATTTAAGGTTTGGGGAACACAGAGGGAATGTCCTTGGTTCAATCCCTAGTACAAAACTCCACAAAGTAGTTGTGGAAGAGTTGACAATCTTAAATTGTATGAGGGAGACTTTAAAAATTCCAACAGAACTTTGTTTCTGGTGCATTTCCTTGTTTGCACCTGGGGAAGAAGAGAAGGCCCATCTTTCACTGAGTCACTGCATGTCAACTTCACCAGCACACAGGACCTCCAGCTTTCATGGGAAGAACTACTGGAAACTTTCCTCAGGAGAAGAATCTTGTAGCCCATATAACTGACAGCAGCCATCTCTTACCTTCAGTGCCCATTAAGAATGTATTTGACAGGGAGGGAGTACCAATATGGCAGAGTGGTAAGTAACAGAGAAAGAGCCTCTCTGAGAGTTACCATCCAGATGCTGGAATATGGCAATGTGAGGAAGACAAGAAGGAGGGAAGTGGGTCCCCTGGACCCAGGAAGGATCTGAAGTGTGAACTGAAGCCCATGGAGAGAGTGAAGACAAAAACTTGAACAAAGAAAAAGGAGGTGGCCAGTGATGCCTTCCCCCTGCAATAAGACTCACTGCATGAGAGGAGCAATTCAAACCTGTGGACACACAGTGACTGGTGGTGACCCCAGAGGCCTCCACAGAGAGACACAGCAGTAGAGGGGAGCAGTGGACATGGAGGACTGCACAAACTGGCAGTGAGTGCTGAGGGCTCAGTCTTCCCGCAAGAGAGCAATTGGCCAGGAGCCATCATGGAGTAGGGCCAATTGAGCTCAGAACTCAGAGCAGCTGCTGGCTCCCTCTAGTGGCTCCCAGCTGTGCTCAGGCCCAGGGAAGGTGCATTGACAGCTGCAGGCTGAATGAGTCTGGTCTCAGCCAGAAGGTGCAGGCTCACTGAGATTATCCACTACTCCACCAAAAAGCTACTACTGGCTTGCTGGGATAAATCAACACAGATCTGGACTCTGTCACCACATGTTGTCTACCAGTGACAGCAGAGACATACCTGGAAGTGGACTTTTTTCTTTTTGCTCTGTCTCATTTGTTTTTGTTTTTGTTGTGGTGGTTTTGTTTTTGTTTTCTACTTTATTTTTTTTCTCCTTCATTGTTTGATCTTGTTTTTATATGAGTGTGAGCATGGTTTCTAGCCTCTTTGTAGTTGTTGTTCTGATCTGTTCTTTTTTATCTCTTCCTTCTCTCTTTCCCTCCAGTCTTCTGCACCAGTTTCTCAAAGTTAGCATGATCCCCCTTTGTCCTCCAGCCTTACTTCTAATCTCTTTCTCTTCTTCCACTTCTCTATTTTCTCCTAACCCATTTTAAATTTTAACCCCTAAGGGCAAAATTGACACATTAAGGACTTGTATACTGCCTATAACTTTCTGGTTTGTTTTAGATTTTATTATATATCCACAAATCTAGTTCATACAGTTAAAGGTGGCAAATTAATGGTTAGCTCAGATTGTCATTTTCTAGGCTGTGTTTGATGCTATTGTCATTGGTACCACTATAGCCAGAAGTGACATTATTGTTCTAAATAGCTATTTTTCCTGGTATTCCAAGACTGAAATTGACTAAGGGTTATAGAAAATACTGTGGCACAATGCCAAAGAACCAGGGGCTGGGCAAAACAGACAGCAACTTCTCACAGCCAACAAATTGAAGACTTAAGATCTTGCAACAGACTCAAAACCCCAAAATCAGCTACACCTGGAAGATACCTCAGAGAAGTAGTAATTTCCAAAAGGTTCTAAATACTAGCAACAAAGCAACACACCATAGTCATTTTACAAGCATTACCCCAGGAATTAAACTAAAAAAAAAAAGAAAATGAGAAGACACTTAAACAAGATGCAACCACAGACATCCAGTTCACCGAAGGCAAAGCCAGGGAGCAATGAAGTGGGACAATCTGAAAGCCACCCACCTGGCCTCTCTGAAGTGGTAAGAACAAAGCAATTGAATGAATTGCTGGAAAAAAATCAAATCAGAAATAATCTCTCAGATAATTGCAGAGGTGGTGTCCACAATGAAAGCTATGCTTACTGACTCTAGAGCAGATACAGACAAAAAAAGTATGGAGCTTAAGAAAATTATGGAAGCCATGAATTGTCAGCATAGGAAAGAAATGGAATCCATAAGGCAAATTCAAGCAGATATCCAGGAGAATGAAAATTCTACTGAATGTATCTGTAGCAGATTATGTCAATGTGAGGACAGGATCTTAGATATAGAAGACAGGCTTGAGGTTAATGATCACGCAAAGAAAGAGTTCTTTAAAATAGCAAGGGACCATGAGAAATCAATACAGCATCTGTTACATGAGGCAAAAATGAGTAACTTAAGATTGATTGGATTCAATGAAAAAGCAGGAGATAGCACAAATGCAAAATAAAACAAAACAAAACAAAAAACTGTTCACAGACATCATGGCAGAAAACTTCCCTGGTAGAGAAAAAGAATTTGACATACAGGTATATAGAACTCCAATTAGCCACAGTCAAAAAAATCTACAGCCAGTCATATCATAGTCAAGATTCCAGAAATTCAGCACAAGAATAGAGTCTTAAAGCTGTTAGGGAAAAGAAACAAATCACCTCTAAAGGGAAGCCCATAAGAATCACAGCTGACTTCTCAGCACAAACCCTCAAATCAAGGAAAGCTTGGAGTGAAGTATTTCAGATTCTAAAGGAAAACAACCTTCAGCCAAGATTGATGTACCCCGCAAAACTATATTTCAAAACTTATGGAGAAATAAGACACTTCCATGACAAAGAACATATGAGGAAATTTATGACCACCAAGCCAGCACTCAAAATGTTTTGAAGGACATGCTAGAAAGAGATAACAAGGATCACAACTCCATGAACCCCAACAGAAGGACTCCACCAGGCAAGGCAACCAATTAAACAGAAGGAGGGGGGTAGGAAAGAAACTATTTGATTGGAATCCATCCCAAGTCTCAGTATATATATTATGTATTTCTCTAATATTTCCCTAGGATAGAAGACAACAGCAGAGGAGCTTACCTCTGACCAGCAAAGACCAATGTACCCAAAGCCAGGGAAGCAAGTCATAAAGGAGAAGAAGCAGTTGTGAAATCACATAAAAACGTGATGTTTGCTTTATGTGCTTCCTTACAATCAGGTATTTTTATCAAGGTGATTTATTCATATTATTTCATTGAACACAATAGATTCTGTAGCCCATCATCACCTTCCTGTGACCTTGGGTTTTACAGTATGATAACAGTGTCTATTACAGTTGTATGGGACACAAATCAGCTCTGGAATGGCCTGGGTGACAGCATGGCGGGGAGCTACAAATAAACAGGGAAGCCTGCACTTATGGGATGCAGAGGGGGTGGGGTTGGCACTGGTGTCACAATCTGTATGCTGGAGACAAGTGTCTCAGGAAACGGAGGGATGAGGGGAGGATGAACATCTCGATTCTGACTCTTGCATTTGATTTCCAGACCTGCACTTGGCCTGACAAAGCAGACCATACTCCAGATATCACTGGGCTTCCCTGAGGATAAGGCTGCTGGGAGCTCTCCAACCCCTCAAGTAATAAGAAAAATAGCCCAGCTACTGAGCAGTTACTCTGTGCTGTGTAGAATCTACATGCCTTACCAGTTCTCACTATCGCATTTAATACTTACAGCAGCTCTGGGAGATGAGCTATTATTTTCCCACTTTTATCAATGAGGAGCGTGAGATACAGAAGTATTGGGGCATTTCATCCTTCCTCAATTTCCTTTACCCTTAAGGCCTTGCATTGACCTTGAGCCCCCTCAGCCTCAATTTTTAGGGCCGGTGTTTAAATTCTTACTGCAAAAAGCGACAAGCAACTAATGGCTATGACCATCAGTTTTGTTCTTGTCAACACTGAGAGTCTGATGTCGGAGCCAGCAGCTGGTGACAGGGGCATCGGCAGGAAGGGGTGGATCCTTTTGTGGACTGCCCAACAGAGGCCTCCGGTCTGGCTCCTGAGATTTCTGAGATGCACTGAAAGAAGAGAACATTTAGAAGAGCCTGGCCTTAGGGAGCCTCTTTAAAGAGAAACACCCCTGAGGCACTTCCAGATACCAGCCAGAGAATGCATTTCCTCCCACAAGCACACAACTTGGAGGGTAGGTTTCATCCTGTGGCTTCTGCGTGCCTATTTTTATCCCTGTCCACTTGCTGATGAGCTGAGATGTCTTTTATTTTCCACTGACCCTGTAATCTTTTGCGATTTATTTCAGGTACATCTGATTCTGTGAGAAAAAAAACTTCACCTCTACCTCCACAAAACAAAGTGGGAGCAATGATAATGTTCTCCTCGAGGAGACTCCTAACCATTGAAGATGCAGTCTTCTTTGAGTGCTTCAATTATCAAAGATGTCAGCTCTTATAAAGGCTTCAGCCTTTTGCTCCTTCTGGGTGGAGATTTCCACATGGGAACCATTTTGCTTGACTTTTGGGCCCTGGGAGCTGTTAGGGTTGCCTCTCCCTTCCTAGTCTATCCTGGAAGGACAGGGAGTTCTACCCAGGCAGGCGGATCAGCGAATCACAAAAACACAAGCACGGCCAAGCCCCGCCCAGCAGGAGGGAGTCCTACAATCACTTCCCCAGCTTTGCTCTGCCGGCTAGAGTTCTCAGATGGACGGGGGTCGGGCGCAGTGGACTCCAAGATGTCGCCAAGCCAATCTTGAGGGATGCAGAAAGCTGACTTGGCACTCAGCGGAGCATCTCTTGCGGGAACCTTACTAGCAGCTTCTGAGAAGCCTGCAGACACTTTCCCTCCCTCTCCTTTGAAAAGTAACAGTGATCCGGAAATCAGAGGTATCCTTCCCGGGGATCAGGACACTAGACCTTTAGTTTCTCCTCCTATCCTTCCTGTGGTGAAAGTGAAATCCTTAAAGGCAGTGCTTGCCGGGGAATTCAAGATGGAACATTGCCCCGTGGTTTATTTTCTTAAGCAAGGCATAAAGAACATGTGAAAGCATCTGACTTTTAAGCCAGAAGTCAGACTCCAATCATACTGAAGGAAATGGAGGATTTTATTAAGGAATGCTTAGTTACACTTTTGTTTTTAATTTAACTTTTGAGTAAGTAATATGATCACGTAGGTCCAAATTACAGAAAGATGTGATGCAGGGATACAGCTCCCACCCTTCTGCGTGCCGCAGCCACTGCTCTCTTCCTTCTTGGGTGTCCCCCCAGGGCTGTTTGACACGCACAGTATCTGTTTTCCACTTTCTCCCGTAAAGAACAGAACAGTGTGCTTACACCTTGCTTCCTTTCGTCTTACAACATAGCTTAGAGATCTTTCGTTGTGGGTCACAAGGAGCTCTCTCCTTTTTGTGGCCACATCATATCCCACTATGTGAATGTGCTATCACTTGTTTTAATTCTGTCCCCTGAGGCTGGGCAATAATTTCCTGTGATTTGGCTACTTAAATCTAGGCTGGTCACTGAACTAAGCTGGAATCTGTCTACCTGGAGGCATTATAAAATAAGGTAAGTTTTCAAGATATGGTGGTTTGAAAAGTACCCAGGAGACAGGGTCCCTGATGACTGTTCCTTTTGAGCAATGACAGTCTCAGCTGGAGACAGCTCAGAAGTGAGACTTCAGAATCTTTCTACGCCAGGACATATGGCACTGGGTAGCTGCTAAGAAGGATTCTTGCACTTTGACAGAATTCTTATAAATGAATGTGAAAACTTTCTTTATGTTTTAAGATAGGGTCTTGCTATGTAGCCCAGCCTGGCCTCAAACTCTTGGCCATCCTCCTGCCTCAGCCTCCCAAGTGATGGGGATCCAGGCATGCACCACCACACCTGATAAATCTGAAAACTTTAATAAATAGGATTTATAATATCGCAGAAGCATATCAGTATGTGCTTAAATGAGGATTATTCTAACACTGCTTTTAAAGCACTATAGTTAGCACATTAAAACAGAAAACACATTTGACATCTGCTCTATGCTGCCATTGCAGTGAACGTAGGGTAAAGCTCCCTTTGCCTTATGGTATGCATTTCAAATGCAGTAGAAAAGGATTAATTGCCTTTCAAGTCAGTGCTTTCAAGATTCAAACTGAAGCTCTAGTGATTAACCTTAAACAACATTTGAACTATAATTATAGTCTTCAAATCCATTCTGCCCATCTTTGGAGCTACATTATTTATATCACCTGACATCTACTGTTGATTGCTCTCAGGACTGAGTTCCATCAGCCTTGTCATTAGAACAAAGGGTTGGGGGCACCAGCTTTCATGGATAAAAACCGCAGTGTGACCGGAAGTGGCAGCACACAGACAGCTTGGTCCCCTGAAAACCCAGTTTGGAGAGTTGACTTGATGCGAAAGCTGGGAGGCTTCCCAGCTGGAACCTGTGAGGCTGCTCTTCCCAGCCTCCCCCTGAGAGCCCTGAAGCAGCTGAACTGTGCACGGCCATTGGGAGATGCTGGCAAAGGAGCCACTCTTGACAAGACGAGGCTCATTTTGCCCACTGCGCAGCATGCCAATCACTGAAGCAAGTTTCACAAAAGAGAAAGTGTTTATTCACAAAGCACAATCATGAGGAGGCAGATGCCCCAAATTTCAAGCCCACCTCCCTGGGGATAGGTTTTAAGGGTATTTGTGAGAGAAATAAAAAGGGTGGTCTACAGCGTGGGGAACGGTGAATGGGGTAAGGAGAGCAAAGCAATGTGGGCTGTGTGTGGGCTGTGTAGGATCACACTGCATGGCTTTTCATAGACGCATTCAGCGAGGGGTGTGTTAACCTGATCTCAGGGTGGGGCTTTCAGTTCTCTGATACCCACAAGTCACTCATCAGACACCTGCATCTGCCCAAGTGCTAGGCTTGAGGGGGACATAAGTGGCCTCCAGTTTCCTAAAGAAAACAGTAAACAACTCTCACCCCAGTGAGCGCACATCAGAAGGGCCACCAAGAGCCGAGATGACTGGGGGGGAGTCTACTGAGTGATATGAACTCTAAAATTAGTGATAAAAGCAAGTAAAGCAAGGGAAGCTAGAGGGCTTATTTAGGTTTCTCTTGCACTTTCACCACATCCCCTGTCCTTGTGATTCCTGAATGAATGAGAGTGAGGGCGGTGACTCTGCTTTCCGCCCAGTGTGGTCCCAGAGCTGGGCATACCACAGACTTTTGAGATATGTGCTTATCGAACTGAGGTTTCCAAGCGTCCTCTTGTGAAAATGGGAGGGTAAAGGAGCTTGTGGATATTCATTATTATTATCAAGTGGTAAAAACAAAAACAACCCAAACCAGGGCAAAAGAGAGGGATTTACTGCAAAACAAACTGAAAAAACTTAAATTCATGACCCTACACTTGAATGGGCCCTTCTGGGCCTCCGTACATGGGTTCGTGTTCATAATTTTGAAATATTTTCTTAAAGAACCCCAAGTTTTGTGAACTTCAGGTTCACAAATTCTGTAACCACTCTGGGCACAAAATAGCATATAAACATGATCTGATTTTCAAATTTTGAAAAAATAAATAGATATGTAAACACATAAACCAGGGATGACATATAGGTTAAAACTATTTTTCTTTCAGCTTAACTATTATTTGATGATCTCAATTTTCACAGTAATCCTCCTGCCTCAGCCTCCTGAGTGCTGGGATTACAGGCATGCACCACCATGCCTGGCCCAACAAAATCATTCTTTTTTCTTTCTCTGTTTCCTCTCCCTTTCTCTTTGGAAAACATGTCTGCCATGTGGTTAAATTTACCCAATTTACCTAGCTTCTCTGGTTTGTCACATTCCCCTACTTCATTACTGCTATCGCCTTTCTAGATTCTTGTAAATTCAACACTGAATAATGAGGTTAATAAAAACCAGCGAACTTCTTTGTCATGTACACAGACTGTTTCTATAAAAGCACCAAATGTATGATTAGCTCAGATTTAATCATCTGTTCTAACATCTTATAAATTTTTCCTGATGAACCCATTGGATTTCCAGTGGAGGCTTTGCTTACTCAGTGTTAGAATTTTAATTCCTGTGGACTTGATTAGAGTTTGTACATTTATAGCATCTAACATTTCTTCAGGGAATTATTTCTCCCAATGAATATGCCTCTGAAATTCAACAAATCTGACATGTCAGAAGCCCCAGCAGGAACAGGGACTGGGTCTGGCCAACCCTGGGCCTTGGGTCAGTCACTTGCCCTCTTCTCATCTTCATTTCATTCCAAAGCTCTCTGACCCCTCTTAATTCACAGAACTATCACAAGACTAAACCATGCAAAATACTCAAGTGTTTGGTTTTTTTTTGTTTTTTTTTTTTTAATGAAAGGACCAGTTTTTAAAATTGAACATACTCATTCAGCAAACTGGCAGCCTCTTGTGGTCCCACACCAGGGATACAAAACGAATCAGCCAAATATCATTGCCTGTGCTGACCCAACGCTTATGCACTAATGGAATCAGTAGGCACTGAAACAACTTTTTTTTATCTTGTTTTCAGGCGCATAGGAAATTTAGCAGTAGTTATGTTTATTTTGAACAGAGTAAACAGGCTCAATCAAATGACGTTTTAAAAAAATCTAGTTTTATTTAGAGTACAGATAAACTGTAGAGGCAAAAGATACTTTCTGCTATTCTTTGGGGAGCAAACTGTTCTGAAAAATAACAAATCTTTTGGATTGAATTCCTGTGCTGTTGAAAAGCATGCCAAAAAAAACACAATAGGAACCAACACTGAAGGTCAAAAAAATGGAAATATACAAAAATGGAGCACAGATAAGTCAGGATTATTTCAGGGAGAAAATCAGTGATTACCATGAGTGCTGGGTTTAATGAAAGATGGAAAGAGAGGACCTATAGGAATCTAAGATAGCTGGCAATTTATCAGATGGGTCAGCCTCTACCAAAATGTGACCAACACGTGAGTCTGGGGACGTGTCCTGCAGATACATAGCTGGGAAGGAGATTATTCTTTGCTTATTCTTTCTGCAGCTGGCTGGGATAAGCAATCTAAAAAAAACTTCTAAGTGTGAGCAGGGTGAGGAGAAACTCTAAAGAAGCCTTTGTTCACATTTCCACAATGCCCCTATCATCAAGGTATCCTGGAGACTTAGTCGCATCAGGCAGTGGATCATGTCCAGGGGAAATGAGGTGCAGAGACGTAAGTCCATTGCCGGAGGCTAGCAGGCTGCACTGGTCCAACAAGAGAGGAGCTGGCAACGTCTCCGACAATAATCAGCCTCTACTGGGTGACTACGGTGTGTCTGCCACTGCGCTGAGCCCTTTAATATCCTTTAATATGCATTCAAAGTAAGCACTGTTTTCACCCAACTTTAGAGGTAAGAAAAGATTCAGAGAGGTTAAGCAATCTGCCTTGGCCAGGTCAGCTGGTAAGGACAAAAACCAGCATCACAGTCTGCTTGTCACCTCTGAGCTGTAGGGAGTTGCTGCCTTCCGGAGACCACATTTTCCACCCTGGGGTGAGAGGGACACTTCTTGCAACATTTCCCTGCTGTTCCTTTTATCAACATGAACTTTTCTGTGATTAGGTTGCCAGAGTGTTTGAAAGATGAAGTGAAAGAAAATTAATACATTCCCTCTTCCAAAGAACAAGAGCTAGCTAAGGGTAGGGTCATAAACTAAGGCTAAAAATATGGGCCAAAGCAGATGCCCTCAGACAAGGGGTGTTAAGGAATCAGCCAAATGGTCCAATGGTGAGGTCAGTCAGCCTCATTAGGAGGGGAGGGGGACAGAAGCCAGCTTCAGAGTCACAGAACCACAGGGGAATACTGAGAAAAGAGGTCATTCCAGAAAGTGTGTTCAGGGCTCAGGGCTAGGAAGAGAGTAGTGTACAAAACTAGACTTTGGG